GTCAATAGTCTGCCTCGTCTTCATGTTATAGAGATAGTCAGTGAAAATACTTTTTGTCACAGTAGCAAAAATGGTTTTCAAAACTTTATTGTTGAGCTTAAGTAAATCTTTTTTTTATGAATTTTATGACACGAGAGGATATATTTCAGTTTTATATTTATAATCTAGTTTAGTCCTAAAGATCCCAAATATAAAATAGAACTGATTTAATCTGTAAGCTAAGTTATCCTTGTACATTTTAATTCAGTTTTTATTATGACTAGAGGTCGTCCAGTGGTCTAAAACTCGACCAAAAATATGTAATGTAGAAAATTTTCTATTTTAACCTCACGATGAAAATAAAACATGTGATTGGAATTTCTTCCAATTGTTTTGATTTTCTGTTAAAATTTCGTTGTTATTTTGTCACCAGCATGGCAACCCATATGGCCCATGTTAATTTTTGTTTAGTTTTGATCTCATTTTTTTGTGCTTATTTTGAGCCTAATTTAATTTGTAAAGGGATTCTGCACATCTGCAGGAAAATATATTTCCTACAGTATGCGTAGACTTTCCCTGCGATGCAGAAGAGCGGAGAGAAAAGGTTTTAAAGAGACATGCTTGTTTATTAATATATAGATTATTCTGTTTAAATTAGATAAATGTTTTAAATGACGTCACGTAAATGTGTTCAGTAGTTATACAGCTGATTTTCTCCCAGAACCCCCTCCCACAACTCAAAGGTGTTCCTATGGGACAGTATCGCTCTGCTACTTTCTCCACTTAGCAGTTTGCTGTACCGAAGTGCGGTGTCATCCTCGGTTGTGGTCGCAACTCGCAACATTGCTGGCTTTCAGTTTGCTTTACTTCCGTTCAAACTGTGGGAAATCCACAAACTCAAGTGGCAGAACGCATTTCAATTTAAATAAACTACAACGGTTGTCTTATGAAACGGGGAATGAACCCGGTAACGTTTATTGGTAACCCTAAAACGCTGATGTTTGAAATTAAATTAGTCTCTGCTTTTCAGATATGAGTGAACTTACTTAATTTCTTCGGGAGTTAATACGAAAGAAAAACTAGAGGCTGTAGCTGCTAAATGGGACTGGTGTTTTGAGATAATCACTATTAAGGTTTAGAGGTTATGTTTGGCTGTCAGCGTTGTCAATCGTCTTTGTTTAAAGGGCTTGGTGACACCAGCTGACTATTTTAGAGTCATGCCAACCAATCAAACTTAAATACACCATTCCAAGTTATCAAAGATAATACTAGAATACATAAGGAAGCGAAATAGTGACTCTCCTCTAAAATTTCAACTTAGCCCCTTTACTTGAAAACCCCTTACTTGATAGACCTTGAAAGCAATATTTTATTCTTACATATTGTTTATGTCATGTCACTCACATCTGACGAGGTTATAGGACTAATCCCTATTGCTACCACAATGTATGTATACTGTACACTATATAAGATATTAATTTAAGTACTAAACCTTAAGTAGTATACGGGACATTGTGAAAATTCTCCTAGTAATTACATTATACGAACAGATGTACCTATAATAACCGTAAAAACACTTCAAATTAATTTACTGGTTGCACAACAATCTTATCATGCACCACCTGTATCCACCTCCTGACGATTCCTATTTATTTGCAACCACTTTTCCCTAGACGCTGGTTCTCGCTAGACCAGCAGCTATTAGCTGTCCATCAAGCGGTCTTTACGATCGACGCATCTTCGGATTTGAATCGGTGCGAGTCTTTGAGTGTGGCAAAAAAGGCAACTCAGCTGTGAGCGAACAGTCCGGCGCATGCGCGTTAACTAGCTATTGTACGGTCAATTAGACTTGCAGCCACAATAAACAGCTATAACATCAATTTGTATAACGACCGGTGGAAAAACCTTGTAGCGAGTAGACGCGAACAAACCGAAGGCACTCGAGGAATCCGTCATCAAAATATCGGCGGTCGAATTCCCGCACGGAGCTCGCGCTTCCTTTCAGGGCGGTCCGCGTCACTCAGCGCGGTTTTTGTCCGCCGCGGCCGCTAATGAAATAAACACTCGACAAATAACTCGTCCTCTGGTTTTTGCCGCTTTATGTAATGTTTCCCGGAGCTAGCCGGTGCTACTGTCGTCTAGGTACCTGTCACATAGCGCTAGGTGCCGCGCAGAGCCGCCTTGATCTCCAGTAGTCATCTGTTCGGAATCAGCAATACTGTACTGGCCAGATGGGGAAAGGTATATAATATGATCACATCAATTTTTGACTGATTTCATTTATTACTTTTTTTAAATTAATACTAGTGTACATGTTGCTCGAATTCGAGCAGTTGTAAAGTATTACAGGATTTGCAAACCAATAACAATCATACTAAGCTATCAACATTTCAACAAAAACACACCTGCCTTCCCTGTAGCAGCAAACCTAGGCACTCATATGTTAACTTAATGTTATTTAAATAGGAAAAAATTACCATTTTCAGGAAATATCTTTGTAGAAATTAATCCAGGTAAATGGAAATTCGCTTAGTCTGAAGGTTTGCTGCGGATACACAATTTCAATAACAGAAATGATTGAAGAATCTGAATTATTACTTATATCTATGAATTTATCTAACAATTATTTCCTGTAAAATATTATTACAGCAGCTCAAAAATATTGGAACAGACTTGGTCAACAAATGCGTAACTGAAAGAATCCCATACTAATGACACTAACATATAGTTTGACAGTTCCATTTAATTAATGTTAAATGTTTACATTCGGGCGAGTGACATATTTGATTTATGTTTATGATCCATACCGTTCCTGTTCTAATAATCATGCAATATGTTTGGACCAGCTGTGTGGAATTGTAAAATCAAAATTAATTTGACAGTTAGTTCTGCTTGTTTACGTTTTTAAAATTTTTGGGTTTGTTCTTTGTTACCATGGATACCATCAATAAATATTTCACTTTCAATGAAGAATGGAACCCTTTTATACAAAACACTTCTACGTCCACTATTGTCATACGCCTGCCCAGTATGGGGAACTGCTTCATCAAGCTCAATTCGTAAACTGCAAACATTTCAAAATAAAGTTTTAAGGATAATTCTAAAATGTCCCTGGTATTTTCGAACCCGGCAAATCCATTTAGAACTGGGAATAAAACCTATAGAAGATTTCATCAAGAAAGTTACATCAAAATTATTTACAAAACTTCCATTAACCAGCAGCATTGGATTTTATAACACAGGCCAACCTTCTGAAATCCAGAGACTCCGACTAAAACCCAGATTGCCTCAAGACGTTTTATTATAACAACTTTTTTTTTCATTTGTGTTTCATTGGTGGACAGTGCCTTTACAGTCCGACCCGCTAAAACAGTGACAATAAGTGCCTGAGGGGCTAGCCATAGCTAGCTGACCTCTACATATGTTAATGTAATTAATAATGTTATTTTTGTCTTTCTTATATTACCACCTAACCTGTATAGCAATGTAATGCTGATCGGTTAATAAAATCTTAAAAAAAAAAAAAACTTTCAATTTCTGATAACAGCTGGAGTTCCATAATAATGTTTGTTTCCCATGTTAATCTTATGGACAAATACGAAACTTTAAAGGGCCCCAGGGCCTAACTCTCTAAATATTTCCCTAAAAAGAAAGTTTCCTGCACAACTTCACGTTACACTCTTTCCAATGACACCAAAAACATGCCAATCGGTTCAGTAGTTTCGGAGGAGTAATTGTCACAAAAATCCTGCTTGCGTATTAAATAAGTATAGATTTGGCATTGTCCAGTTAATAATTTAATTTAATTCTGATAAGTTACCCGACTAGATAATAGTTCAACCATAGTACCTACTTATTAAAATGCATTTATGATGGTGGAGTTTTAGATCCCTAGCTTACCTATTTTTTTTACACTCTTACAAACTACGTGTCCGCGCTACGTGTACACTTGTGTTTCTCTGAGGACACTTCCTGGACAAACCATAAAGCCTGTTAGGCCGCTACGTGTTTGAATTGTTGTAAAGTTACTTGGTATAATAAACTTATCAAATCAAAATTAATATAAGAAGGGAAAACTCACAAGTCTGTAAACGAATGTAGGATCCATTCTGTCTATGGAAGAAAAATATAGCATAAGTTATAAAGTATTCCATTAGTTGGGAATTGTAAAAATAGGAAATGCTGTGAGTTAGTGCAAATTACTGTATACTATCGGGTTAAAACTAATTCGGTTGTTACTTGAAGAAATTTAATTCCTGATTCTGCAAACCAATAAATACGATTCTTATTTAAGTTGGGGTACCAAGTGTTTCCTGCCGTTAATTTACTAAACTCGTCCCCAGAAAATATATCAACCATTTTTCTGTGCAATCTGTTATACCATACATCCTTGTGACAATTAACATCTCCAAGTGTGAATGAAAGTGAGTTTACATTTAATCATTTGCTTCTCACTAACATCATACACAATCTCTTTACCTGTTCTTCTTATTCGATGGTCTTGTAGTTTTCAAACACTAGACCAAACCTCACTCGACCATAGAAGGCGAGATGATAGACAAGCCAGGAAGTATCTTCGCATGATGAGTGTTTGACATTTCTGATGTTAATCACAAGTCAAGTTGTCTAGACGCGAGCCAAAACCATTAACGCAGCACGTCAGACAATGAAATCCTTGGCTTTTGCCACCCGCTAGAGAGCCAACTTAACTAACGGCGAGTCTTAACGATTGCGTGTGGCTGTAACTTAACCATCAAGGTAACTAACAGACTATTTTGAAATTTGTTAGCATTTAACTGATCAGAAATATGTTCCTTCTAGCTGTTATGAAAAGAAATGTTTAGAAACCAAATTTATATGGTTTTATTCAACTTAATAGTCAGCTACATTTTACATGAGAGAATTGCACAAAACTGTAAACATTACATACATAAACAAAACAGTCTTAAATAAAACAGCTGAATAAATATTTGACAGTACAAAAGGAATCATATTACATAACATTCACCCCATCTTTTTTTTTAAATGTAATCCCTTAGATAGGTGGGAGGTCTTCGGACTCTAGTGGAACGACGCAGGTTTGTTTCTTCGTTATCCCTCACAGAAGTAGGGGTCACGGTCTCATGCAGAGGGGATGTTTCGATTTCAGACTGAATAGAGTTCCCAATTTCAGGTTGAAGCAGATTTGATTCACGTCTCAGGTCTTGAAGAGCAGGATCTAGTTCTTGACTGGGATTTTCCGAAGTCACTGGCTCATCCTCTTGTTGGATAGCTTCAGGAGGAACAGCGAGATGTCGCACCGATACCAGAGCCTCTCTACCATCTCTATACTTGATGCGAGCATAGTCTGGATTAGCCTCTATCAGCTGAGCTTGTTCCACTAAAGGTTCATATTTGTTATTTCTTACATGCCTTCTCACTAATACTGGTCCTGGATTCATGAGCCATTGAGGTTGAGAGGTGCCATAAAATGATCGTCTCTGGTGTTTGAAAAGTCGTTCATGTGGGGTCTCATTCGTAGCTGTACATAGTAACGAGCGTATACAATGCAAAGCTTCTGGCAAAACATACTCCCACTGTTCTGTCTTCAGTCCCTTGTTTCTCAGAACAAGAGATACAGTCTTCCAAATCGTTCCATTATATCGCTCAGCTTGAGAATTACCTCGAGGGTTATAAGGTGAAGATCGGCTAGTGGCGATTCCTTTAGAGTGTAAGAAATCACTCAGTTCTTTTGACATGAAAGCAGAACCTTGGTCGGAGTGGACAAAAGCAGGCATACCAAAGATGGTGAAGATTGATGTAAGTGCTTTGATGACAGAAGATGCTGATGTGTCCGAGCAAGGAATAGCAAACGGATATCTTGAAAACTCATCAACAACCGTGAGTATGTATTTATTCCTTGTCACAGATGGTATTGGCCCCTTAAAATCAATGTTAAGTCTCTCGAAAGGAGCCATTGCATGGATGAGTGTTGATGGGGTTTTTTGGTAGAACCGAGGTTTCACTTCCGCACAAACAGAGCATGAAGCGGTCATTCGCCTGACATCTTCGATAGAGTAAGGGAGATTTTTACTTTTTAAGAAATGAACCATCCGTACTATTCCAGGATGCCCAATGTCACAATGAATTCTACGGAGTTTTTCGAAATCTCTACAAGAGATGGAAGATGAAACTCGTGAAAATGCATCTGCTACTACGTTTTCCTTGCCAGAACGGTACACTATGTCATAAGAGAAAGGTGCTAGTTCCAATCGCCACTTTAAAATCTTGTTGTTCTTAACCTTTCCCGCGTGTTTCTGATTGAACATATATGACACAGATTTCTGGTCTGTAATTAATTTAAACCGTCTTCCAATCAGGAAATGCCTCCATTTCTGTATTGAATCGAATATTGCGAGGGCCTCTTTTTCCACAGCAGGTAGATGTTGTTCACTCTTAGTTAGGGTTCTTGAAAAGAAACATATTGGCCTTCCAGCTTGTGAAAGGGTAGCCGCTATAGCTGATTCAGATGCATCTGTTTCTACAGTAAATGGAATATTCTCTTCAACTGCAGACATGCTGGAGTTCGCTATTTCTTCTTTTAATGTCTTAAAGGCCAATACTTCTTTACTGCCTACTGGGAATGATTTGACTGTAGTAAGGCAATGAACCTTTTCAGAGAATTTAGGAATCCACTTTGCGTAATAGGACAACATGCCAAGAGCTCTTTTAAGGCTTGCATTATCAGTTGGAACGGGGAAATTCAAGAGTGATTGCAGGCGGTCAGGATCAGGACGCATGGACATGTTTTCTACAATGTACCCCAGAACTGGAATGCTGGTCAACGAAAACTTAGATTTTTCTTTGTTCAGGGTAAGATTATACTTTTTAGTTGCTTCCATGAATCTCTGTAGGTTTTGATCGTGTTCTGCTTGGCTACGACCACAAATAGTTACATCGTCCAGATAAGCAAACGTGTCTAGTAGATTTTCATTTTCTATAATCTGATCAATAGTTCTTTGAAAACACGCCACACCATTAGTTACGCCGAAAGGAATTCGAGTGTATTGGTAAAGTCTCCCATTAGCTTCAAATGCAGTGAATGGTTTATCTTCATTCCGAATAGGTATTTGGTGATATGCCTCCTTTAGATCGATTGTACTGAACACTTTGTATTGAGCAAGCTTAGAGACAAATGATTCAATGTGAGGTAGAGGGTAGGCATCAAGCTGTGTGAATTTGTTGATGGTTTGAGAGTAGTCAATACAGAGACGTCTCTTGTGCCCATTGTTGACCACAATCACTTGTGCTCTCCAAGGTGATTTACTCGGTTCAATTATTCCTTCTGATATAAGCCTACTTACTTCACTTTTTATGAACTTACTATCATCTTCAGAGTAGCGGCGGGACTTGATGGCTACAGGCTTGACGTCATTAGTTAGATTATCAAACAGTGGTGGTGGTGATACTTTAGCCCTAAGTAGATTGCAAACATTGAAGGGTGGGCGTTTACCACCGAAATTCAGCTCCACAGCAGAATGTTGCCGAAGGATGTCATGTCCAATTACAACATCGGCACATAAATCAGTTAAGATGAGCAGCTTTGTCAGTGGGTATTCGTGGCCATCGCACACCATGTCAACAATACAGTGGCCAAGAGTTGATGAAACATGACTTGTTGATGCCATCGATATTTCATGCTTTGTTGGGTATTTAGAAATATTGAATCTTTTCACAGTAGCTTCAGATATAAAACTGTCGGAACTCCCAGTATCAATGAGTGCATCTACTGGTTTGCCGTTTAACATCAGTGACACTGTAGCTTTTGAAAGACATTTTTGTGAGGCAGCAACAAGAGAAGAAGACATTGAGTTTATTTCTGTCTTATCACTTTGAGTTGTTTTACCCTTAAATGTCCTACTTTGGTTGCGAGAATTGCAAACTGTTGCCCAATGGCCTTTCTTGTCACAAATATTACAAACTGAGTCTTTGGCAGGACAGTTGGCTCGAGAGTGTCGTGGCCGTCCACAAAAGAAACATTTTTCTCTTCTTATCGAGGATAATTGGTGTGAAGACGAATCAGAAGCTGCCTGAGAAACATTTGTATCAGTAACATCAACATCTTTAGGAGTTGACTGAGATATAGAGTTACAAGGGCTTGAAATATATGAAACCGCCTGATTTTCAGCTGATTCCAAGGTAATGGCTTGATTATAAGCTTCTTCAAGAGTCAAAGTTAGATTTTCAAGAAGTCTTTGTCGAATGGACTGTGATATTAGTCCTCGAATGAAAGCGTCTCTTATGTACTCGTTGCGATTTTCATTAGCAGTGACAGATTTAAAGTTGCATGCTTTACTAAGTTCTTTTAGTTTTCGAAGATACTGATCAATATTTTCTCCAGGTTCCTGTCTTCTAGTGGCCAGTTGATGACGTGAATATACCTCATTAGTAGGCTTTATAAAGAGTTTGTCAAGAATAGATATAGCTTCGGTATAAGAATCAGCCTCTGAGATTATTTCATGTATGTTGTAGTCCACAAAATTAGTTAGAAGTTTTAGTTGAATAAATTGTTATGAAAAGAAATGTTTAGAAACCAAATTTATATGGTTTTATTCAACTTAATAGTCAGCTACATTTTACATGAGAGAATTGCACAAAACTGTAAACATTACATACATAAACAAAACAGTCTTTGACAGTACAAAAGGAATCATATTACATAACACTAGCTTCTCTGGAATGGGTGGTCATAACTATTTATGTTAGGGTAATTTTTTTTTGTACCTCTCTCAAAAATCTTAAATGATAATAGTTTTTTAATTAAGGAAAATTATTTCAAATTTTAATTTTCCATTCTTAACAGAAGACGAGCTATATTCAGTGATAAAATGTTCAAAATACAGGACAATCTAGAAAATACTATAACAAACTCAGGGACAACTATTTCAGATATATACTTTGAATAAAGGTTTTATTTTACTGTTACAACAAATAAGGTAAATAAATATAGGAGCAACAAATATTTACGAAAGTAATGCTGTATATTCTAATGAACACTGCAAAACGAAATCACGACCGACCTTTGCGGCGCCAAAGCAAAGAATAGGAAAACGAAGCAGGCGTGATACAAATAAAATGTGAGATAGAGAAAATTGGTCCAAACGCATCGGAGATGGAGAGATAGCGGCTGGAGCACGTAGAGCCGGATAACATCAGAGATCACGACTGTGCGAGATCTGGCGGGAGATGGGTACATAGAGTACAGTCTACCACACCATGGAGTATACTCATAGCAGAGCAGACCATAGAGCACACAAGTATCACGACTGTGTGAGATCTGGCGAGAGATGGGTACATAGAGTACTTTCTAACACACCATGGAGTATACTCATAGCAGAGCAGACCATAGAGCACACTGGTATCACGACTGTGAGAGATCTGGCGGGAGATGGGTACATAGAGTACAGTCTACCACACCATGGAGTATACTCATAGCAGACAAACAATAGAGTACACTAGTATCTCGACTGTGTGAGATCTGGCGGGAGATGGGTACATAGAGTACTTTCTAACACACCATGGAGTATACTCATAGCAGACAAACAATAGAGTACACTAGTATCTCGACTGTGTGAGATCTGGCGGGAGATGGGTACATAGAGTACGTTCTACCACACCATGGAGTATACTCATAGCAGACAAACAATAGAGTACACTAGTATCTCGACTGTGTGAGATCTGGCGGGAGATGGGTACATAGAGTACTTTCTAACACACCATGGAGTATACTCATAGCAGACAAACAATAGAGTACACTAGTATCTCGACTGTGTGAGATCTGGCGGGAGATGGGTACATAGAGTACGTTCTACCACACCATGGAGTATACTCATAGCAGACAAACAATAGAGTACACTAGTATCTCGACTGTGTGAGATCTGGCGGGAGATGGGTACATAGAGTACGTTCTACCACACCATGGAGTATACTCATAGCAGACAAACAATAGAGTACACTAGTATCTCGACTGTGTGAGATCTGGCGGGAGATGGGTACATAGAGTACGTTCTACCACACCATGGAGTATACTCATAGCAGACAAACAATAGAGTACACTAGTATCTCGACTGTGTGAGTTCTGGCGGGAGATGGGTACATAGAGTACTTTCTAACACACCATGGAGTATACTCATAGCAGACAAACAATAGAGTACACTAGTATCTCGACTGTGTGAGATCTGGCGGGAGATGGGTACATAGAGTACGTTCTACCACACCATGGAGTATACTCATAGCAGACAAACAATAGAGTACACTAGTATCTCGACTGTGTGAGTTCTGGCGGGAGATGGGTACATAGAGTACTTTCTAACACACCATGGAGTATACTCATAGCAGACAAACAATAGAGTACACTAGTATCTCGACTGTGTGAGATCTGGCGGGAGATGGGTACATAGAGTACGTTCTACCACACCATGGAGTATACTCATAGCAGACAAACAATAGAGTACACTAGTATCACGACTTTGATAGATCTGGCAGGAGATGGGTACATAGAGTACAATCTAGCACACCATGGAATATACTCATAGCAGAGCAGACCATAGAGCACACTAGTATCACGACTGTGCGAGATCTGGCGGGAGATGGGTACATAGAGTACGGTCTACCACACCATGGAGTATACTCATAGCAGAGCAGACCATAGAGCACACTGGTATCACGACTGTACGGGATCTGGCGGGAGATGGGTACATAGAGTACAGTCTACTACACCATGGAGTATACTCATAGGAGAGCAGACCATAACGCACACTAGTATGGGTATCACGACTGTGCGAGATCTGGCGGGAGATGGTTACATAGAGTACAGTCTATCACACCATGGAGTATACTCATAGCAGAACAGACCATAGAGCCATCGAGCAAGGAATACTATTCATTGTTGGTATTCCTTGTTTGCTGCATAGAGCACACTAGTATCACGACTCTATAAGATCTAGCCTTATATATTGAAGACGTCAGAGATGAATTTTACATTAATTGCTCTAGTTTTTATACCAATGCTAAAAATATTTAAAAAATGTTGAATTTATGTTATAAACTAGTACACATTTGACGTCGTAGTTAGGTAATACTGCTGAAAGGTCGGTATGCATTATTCATACAGAAAATCAGAACACCACCATTGTCAAGCACAAAGCAATCAAGCTCTATTGTAAAACGACACAAACCTTGGCGACGATCTCAATCCGAGCAATAGACTACAGCCAATTATCAATCCATGGGGGGCGCTATGGTGTGGAGCGAAACTATGCGCATGCTCTGTGGTGTTAAGGGTGAATGATTTGTCAACTATCATAACTTGAGCAATGATTAACTAAGATAGATTGTATCTCATACACTTTTTGGGTTTTAAATTTAAATTGGTATGTGGTTCGATCCAAAGTATTGCCATACAAATCCGCTAATAGCTAGGGGGAAATTATGAAAACTTTTATCCCCTGTTTGTTTACTTTACGTTTTGAATGAAAGGTTCTGATAATTTGCAACTAATTCTTGGACAATTGAGCTAGTGTTATGCGTGATATTTGACACTGTAAATATCACGACTTAACCTTATTCTGGGTGTTATGGAGCAATTCGAGAGAAAAAATCAGGAGAGCGAGCTGGTCTAATGGTGGAGCGCGGGACTTCGGTCCCTGTGGTCACGGGTTTAAATTCCACCGTATACCAATGGATTTTATCCAAGAGGTAATGCCGCACACCTAAGACTAGCATGAAAAACTATACCGGACTAGAAATTTGTGTCTAAGGGCAAAAAATCATGATATATCACTTAGATGATCTACCATTTATATGTTCTTGCATTTTCCTCATTCATTTCATACCACCAGTTTACAAAATAGTGCTAAAACATAAGTGGTAGAACTATGCTAATCCAAAACTAAAACTCTATTTTCAATGTTTAAACAATTTAGCAACAAATTGTTCTCACAAAACTAGTAAACACCCTCATCAATGTTACTCACTTTTGCCACGATAAAACAACCATAAAATTTGCCCTCATCTCTGTTGCTTGTGCAGTGTATCCACACAGTATATGGACGCTATACACACCTAACACTACGGCTACGACACATTGGCATTGGAGATGGGTGAAAGGCTGAAATTGATAACCATAGGATTGCGAAGATAAGATATAAATATAACGGATAAACGGAGCTGAGAAACGGTCGATTCAGCATTCAATGGAAATGAACTGGGAGACTCAGTTTAAATCAAATCTTGTGATCGCAGCAGATTTATATCTCAGTTACTGTTCTGTCGCCGCCTGCGTTTCGATATGGTATTGCTTATAGCGTCTTGAATACCTTGTCTTGGGTGTCACTTTCCCCAATGAGGAGTAGTAGGGAAGTATTGAGTGCAAATTGTACTATTGTAGGAAATGCCAATATCAATGTTACCATAGATTAACTAAGATTTGTAAGCTAAGTTTTTGTTTTAATTCTTCTATTCCTGACTCTTATGGGATTCGTTTGAGAAAGTAATTTTTTGTAATTATCATGTGGTAAGATTGTAATACATATATTTTAAAGCTTTTTTAGTTGTAGAATTTTCAAATCTACTTTAATACGAGAATTTACTGAACATAGTCATTTGAGAGTTAAATGATGACAGATTGAACAAATGTATAGGCCTAAATGTGCAACACACTAATTATTCGCTGTAAAAAAAATTAAAAAAAAAAAAACTGCTAGGAGTTATAATTAAATTTACAATAACAATTACACTTGCTGTAGATACAGTTAGCCTATGATGATACAAAATCTACGGTTTCTCCCAAGAAATTACAGCTAGATTTAAGTTTTTCAGTGCTATTTCTAGTTCTAGTTCACCCGAAATGATATATTAGACTAATTGATAAATTATCAAAACATTTAGTATCGATTATAATTTAAGATAATTCATGTAAACTTAAATAATTCAGTATAATTACAGACAATAGACCACCATAATGGTCTATTCTCTGTGGTATAATTTAAATAGCTATTAAAAAGAAGTTGCATATATAGGCATTTCACAATTTCATATAGGCCTATGCTAGACGAACCTTTGTTTTTAGGTTATGAGGATGAGGACTAATGTGGTTATTACCTCAAAACAAATATTTTTAGAAAATCCCTCATTGGTTGAATAATAAAGAAAAGTAGGCCTACCTGACAGATGTTCACTGAATACACCACTGACTTCTCAAACAAATTTTGGATTTTAATCTCATTAATAATTAAGTTATAGTTATTGAAACTGTTAGAGAGGAAGAAACGAGATATGTGAGAATTGAAATTGAGGACTGAAATTCAGCATCAGGCTCGATTAGGACCAAATGATATGGGACGACGCCACCCGTCCCAGTCATATTAGGACTTAGGACTCACTAAAAGGATGTATAGTTCATGCAAATACAAATTTCTTACAGCACTCGTTAGAAAATGTATTCCGATCCGCTAACCAACCTACTCTCAATCCTTAGACAGTTCAATCGCAATACAAAGTGAACTGGACTCAGATAGGTATGTGATTGCGGATTTGTCCATCGGATTAACGCAAGTAACGGATGCTGGCAGACAGGCCTATTTGTTGGGGAGCATTGAACAGTGAGCGCCGTATGACCAGACTCCATATACAGGCTCTCCGTGAATATCTCAACATTCCTGGATCAAGCCATTGGCTGCAAGTGGGGAAGAGATTTCCTGATACGATCCGAAGTAATTAACTGATAGTGAGGAAATATTTGTCAAGAGTAGTTTTTGACCAAAGGTTGTGTTGATTATTCTGTATAGAATTAGAAAAGTAGCATACGAATATTTTATTTTAATGTACCACAGTAAATTAATTTATAATTGAATTGGTGTGTAGTTACAGACAAAATCTATGGAAATGTAATTTTTTACGGTTTTTGCAAAGAATTTGAAATTTTTATATTTTTTTTGTCAGACTGGAAGAGCATTTTCATGCAGATTCAAAGAACATATCCAAGCCGTAAAATCAAACAATAAAACACCCCAACGCTCAATGTATGCAGAACACATATTAGAAAATAATCATAATTATGGCAAATTAGAAGAATGTGTCAAAATTCTAAATTATGAAAAAAGGTGAAAAAATTGATATAAAAGAAGAGCTGCAAATATACTGCACCTACAATCAAAAGAATACGGCGACCAAATTCTCAATGTAATGCAAAAACAAAAGCAAAATCCAATACATGAAAAAATCAGACAAATCAGGGAAGAATCTTGCACATTTACATGTTAAAAAATACACTTAACCATTTAATCAAAATTTAATATGAATTCAAAACATATGTTATTAACTATTTATTTATTTTATTTGTTTACATACTTTTATATAGCTCATACTGTGATCATGGCCTTAGTGCCGAAATACGTATCAGTTTAAATAAAAATGAATTTCAGGGTACTCTGGTTTTTATTATTTCGCTTATTATTTTTTTACATGTTTACGAAAAAGACTTACTAAGCATACTATTTTATTTATTGGTATAGCTTGGTTTTATTAGTTTGGGAATTATGGGTATCTTCTATAAGGACATTAATTCGATAGGAGATTAATTAATTTGACTATTCTCAGAAAACTTTGTTTAATCCATTTACCCAATGGTCTATACGCTGTTTACACGAGGCAAGTATGTAAGCAGGTTACATGCCTCTAGTATAAGGGACCTGAGGAAGGTAACCTGCCTGCCAACTAACTTCTAAACAAACCACTTCTTTGACAACTGATCATGATTACTATTAGTGTTGTCCCCAAAGAGAAAAGATTAACATCACTGTGGTCATTCGTGGTCATTGAAAAGATACAGCATTAAGAACTATTTTATTACTTTAACTCAGTTTAAATACCTAGAGTTCAGTAAAAATACCTAGCTTACTAATTATAGGTCTTTTGGAAGAAATTTGTAATATTTAATTTGTAATGTCAGATAAAACGTAAAATTTTAACCATTCTTAATAGATTACAGTAGAAAATTAATAGAATATCTCTAATGGGAATTATTAAAAAATACTTCTTATCAAGATTATCAATAACATGTCATTAAGAGTTACATAGAATCTATAATATTTGAAAATGATTCTTGTTGAAGGGCCTCTTGTTATCGACGATCGAGGTTCCAATTTTGAAACACTTTTTCGTACTAACCTTAAAAAAAACTTATCACTGAAGAAGTTACATTTCAACTGTTCCACCAAGCAAACTGTTCCTTGAGTAACGGTCGAACTGATTTACCTATCGATCGATCAGTGATATCGCCGTTTCGTATTCCAACGAGAGCAGATGCGTTATCAGGCACGGCGCCATGGGAACGGGGGTTTGCAAATTTTGGAGAAAGGTATGCGGGAAAGGTACGGGGGATGTGGTAAATGTGAGGCACCGCCTGAGGCAAGTTTCGTGCCGGGGATATGTGTTATGTGGATACATTTACATTCGCAGTGTCACACGGTACTAGTAGTGTAAAACCGACCCAACGCTGCCAGCAGTGTTACGTATAGTGTGGGATCGGGTGGAGAGTGAGATTGAGTCAAGTAATTCAGTAAAATAAATGCTATCAGCAAAGTGATAACTTTCTCCCTATAGCTTGTAAAAACCTCGTATAATGGGTAAGCAGTGTAATGATGGATTTAATGGGTAAAATCATAAAAATTTGCATATTT